GGAGCTTTATCTGTACATCAAAGAACAACTCACACAAATGGACTCTCCCAGACCCAAGGAAATATATTTCCAGCCTAAAACTTTCTCTGTGCAAAATGGAGCTTATTTTCTAGCTAGGAGGAATTTTACAATCTTTGATTTCTCCTCAGCCTGAAGAAGGGTGTGTGTGCCCAAAAGCTTGCAAAAGAAAGAATTTTGTTTGCTATTTTTAGTTGGTCTGATAAAAGGTATCATTTCTGAACCAAGAGTTTTAGAATTTTGTGTTTCTCTTAGATACTGCACATTTAGTTTAGTTCTTGCTTAATTAAGTACTAACCAAATGCACTAACAGTAATGCCGGCACATGGTTATTTTGTGATGCTTACTGTGCATCAGCCTAATTACACTGCGCGGTAGGCTATTAGCATAGTTTTTAACTGCCATACTACTGCGCAGTGTTATTAGGCTTAGGATCAGGAAGCATCTTGTGTAGTAAGCATCTCACCCACTACACAGTAATCATCCACTACACAGTAATTTGTGCTAATCTTGAGTAAATTTGCTATCTGTAAATTCAAGTAGCAAATTTACTTAGGAGTAATTACTGTGGAGTATGGCATGTGTAAGACGGCCTTTGGTTCCAGTCAGCAGGCATCAGGAGATTGCTCCCAGCACCTGGGAGCTGCCTGCTGCTGGGATGGGCTCTGCCATCAGAGCTCCGCAGGGATGTTGTCCCCCTGCCCTGGCAGCAGGGAGCTCCCAGCCCCTGGGAGATTGTCCTCTCTCAGCTCCCATGCCACAGTTGCATAATGGGAGCTGGGAGCTCCTTGCACAGGAAGAGTTCCCTGCCCAGCCTGGGGCTGGCTGGGAGCTGCCCCAGACCAGCCCAGGGCTGTGCAGAGAAGTTTGCACATGCAGCCTGGAGGTGGCTGGGGACTATTTCATTTCAGGCAGCCCACAGCCAGCTCTGGGCTGCATGCACAGCCCAGGGCTGACGGGAACTGTCACAGTTAGGGGCAGGTCCAAGCCCCATATCTTGATTGGGTGATGGAGGCATGGGGCTTTGAAAGAGCTGCAGGGGAGGGGATCTGGGGCTGGGAGCTCCCTGCAGCCAGGGCAGGGGGACATTGACCCTGCTTGGACTGGTGGCGGAGTCTGCCCCAGCAGCAGGGGAGCAATTTCCCAGCCCCTGCCAGGAGACAGCTGGGAAGCCTAGAGCCTAGAGCTCCCCCTGGGTGCTGCAGGAGGCTGGTGCAAGACTGACGTGGGGCAGACGCAAACTGCTGCCATGAGCAGCAAATCTACTTCCACTTCCCCACATGTGAAGCTACCTGCCCAGGGTGGGTTTACTGTAGAGTAAGTTACTGCAGAGTAAACCCACCCCAGAGCATCTGTGCATCTGTTCCCAGTGTGTATACTATTTGCTTAAAATATTTGGTTTAATACTGTCTGTTTGCCAATCACTAATAAATGTCTATTGCAAACGTGACTCTATATTGCATCCTCAGTTCAGTGTGTTAGTAGTGCTGTGTAAGAAATGGGGGTGTGATCCAAAATCTTCCCAACAGCTTCAGAAGGGGGTGCATTAGCTCCCTTCACACATTTGGAGTTGAACTCTGGATTAAAGTTGTTTCCATCTGGCCCCATCTATGTTCTATACAGTGAATCCTGTATTAAAAACCTAGTTTTCTCTTAGAAAAAAACACCCTCTAAGGCATCCCCTAAGCCATTTTACAATGTTAAGCTCATATTAAGTGACTCTTTCTCCAACTCAAGCTTAAGATGCCTAGAATTATTTCCTGACAGTAACACCATCTGAGTGCCCGAACCACTTTGGAATTTACAACATGCAATTTGCGTGTTGCCAGCCATAAGCATTCAAAAATCAGGAGTCAGGTTCCAGAAATTGGCTTAAAAACCTGAATAAAAATCAAGGCTTTGGGTAATTATTCAACTTGGGGGCCACATTTTCAAGCTTTTTCCATAAATATGAAGTCTAGACAGTCGTTTTAAGTGAAAGCTGAGCTTCTCACCCAATCACATGCCTCCAGGAGCTAAGGCTTTAAGGAGAGGGAGAGAGAGAGAGAAGGAAAAAAAACCCAAACTAAATATCATATGGCAGTGGTTTTCAATGTTGTTAGACTGAAGGCACCCTTTGGAAAATGCCAGCTCTCCGCTTTCACTCATTTTTGACTACGGAAAAATAATAGAGCAGTTCTGCTGCGCAGAACTCTCATAACAGGTCAGAGAATGCTTTTGACACTGTGGATTCCTTGCGAAATTTCTGGGTGGTACCCTGGTTGAGAATCACTGTCATAGGGGACGATTGAGTAATGGAAGCCAACAGTGCTGAATTTGTATGCTGTTGATGCTGCACTTTACCTAGTTCCATGTAACATTTCATGTTCATCTGCTAATAGTTCTGAGGGTTTGTATTTTTGTTAAGAATGTTTCATGTATCCAGTCAGCAAGATCTAGTCTCATGCAGGAAAATTTTCAGGCTGCCTCCTTTCTCTGGTTTGGAGTTGGTCTTGTAACAGAGGTTTCATTTTGCAATTGGTTCTTGATTTTATACCTCCCTTGCTGATTCCTTTCTTTTCACTACTTTTTCCAGAATGTTTTCCAGCTGTTGCCCTTTTCACCTGTTACTGAATTCCTGTTCTTGAAGTGTTTAAAATAATTTTGTTTAATTACTATAACTTCAGCCAGTGAAGAAAACTGCCAAATTAATCATTAATGCTATTATATTACAGAAGTGAATCCAAAATCTGGTCACCTCTTGTGACAGAGGAGGGAAAAACCAATCCATATAAAATGAATCTGGCCTCTCAGCCCCAGGTAAGTAACGATAAATCTGCACTATTTGTTCTTGCTTGACTATGTCCTATCATTGTGTGCTTGCTAGCCTGGTGACCTTGGGACCTAGTAACTTCAAGACCCAACTACCCTAGGAAAACGGAACACTGTTATGCCTCAACTGAGGTCTAAGCTAGTTTTTAAATATATGCCCTGGCCTTATCTATTCATAGTAGTTTTTACTCATTTTGGGCTGCGGCATTGTGAGACCCAGCCTGGCCTCCTCATGGCTTTGGAGCCCAGGTGTGATAAAGTTTAGATTGCACTTAAACCTGTTAAAACAGGGATGCAATTATTTTGGGCGGAGGGCTGCTTATTGAGTTTTGGCAGGCCATCAAGGGCCACATGCCAGGCAGCCAGGGGCAGATCTATTAATTTTTCTAAGTTTTTTAGGGGCCCCGTGGGCTGGATAGAATGGACTGGCGGGCCGTATCTGGCCCACAGGCCGCATTTTGCCCACCCCTGTGTTAAAACATAGTTGGCTCCCAGTCATTTCTGTGTAGCCTCAGAAGTGCTTTAAATGGCTAGGTGAAAGTCTGGGGCCATGAAGAGATTATCTAAATATCTTGTCAATGGTGAGCTGTTCAGGGCAGGGACCTTGTGTATATAGGCACATTGGAACACAACTAATAAACAGAAGTACTTTAATTCTCACCATTGCTAACTGTATTTGCATTTCTTGATAAGAGGGGTTCTTAAGGTGGAGCAAGGGACAAATGATTCACTCTTGCAGTGACTCACAGGGAGACTCCAGCTCTTTATCTCAGATGTCCCTAGAAGTAGCATGGCCTGGGCCTGGTATCCATAGACCATTCTTAGATGTGACCTTGATCCACTAAACTACTGCCTGTTTCAATTAAATGTTGGTAAATTTAGGGGAGATTTTCCAAGGTACTAAAAGCAGTTAGGTACTCAGTTAGGATCCCAGTGGAAGTCAGTGAATTATAAGTAACACAGGTTGCATCTATGAGACGCTTACTGTGCATTAGCCTAATAACACTGCGCAGTAGCGTGCCAGTCAAAAACCGTGCTAATACGCTACTGTGCAGTGTTATTAGGCTACTACACAGTAACTGTCACAAAAAAAACTGTATGCCAGTGCTACTGTAGTTACTCTGCGTTTAGTTAGTACTTCATTAAGGAAGTACTAAACTAAATGTGCAGTAACTACTGTTCATTAATCAATGTGTAGATGCAACCAGTGGCACCTTTGAAAATTTCTCCCCTTGATTGGCTTGACTAAGAGTATTTGCAATACAGGTTTCCTTTGTTTTATGCGGGTTCTTTATAAGCGAATTTGCTCTTATGCGATGAGCATATTTAGATCTGTAATTTGTTATATGCAAGGTAAATTTGCTCTTACGCAATCAGCATAGATGCCACGCCCCCCCCCAGCAGGTAAGTCTGTGAGAGGATGGGAAAGGGCTGTGGCCCCATTCATACCAGCCTGGGCTGCAGCGGCCCTGGGAGTGGTCAGTGCCAGCTGCCTGCAGCCACTGGGCTATACCACGCTCTGCCTGTTCCCCTACGCCTGGGCTCACCCCAGCTCCTGGGCTGCCCCATGCCATGGTGCAGGCAGCTGGTGTTGGCTGCTCCTGGGGCTGCTCCAGCACGGGTTGGAGTGTGGGTGGCACAGGGCACAGGACTCACCCCAGCCCTGGCTGCAGCGGCCCCGGGAGCAGCAGACACCAGCTGCCTGCACCAGGGCATGGTGCAGCCCAGGAGCAGAAGTGAGTGGGTACCGGCAGAGCACAGTGTAGCCCAGCGGCTGTAGGCAGCTAGCGCCAGCTGCTCCTGGGGCCGCTGCAGCTGGGACTGGGGTGAGTGCTGCTCTGTTCCCTCTCCTTTGCTGCCTTGTGCAGCCCCAGGAGCGCTGCCCCTTCTCTAATCCCAGCCTCACTCCCTCACTCCCTCATCACCATGAGAACCTATTCCTATTTGTTACATTGTAAAGTGGGTTTGCTTTATGCGCCGTTCTCCGGGAACACATGTACAGCATAAATCAAGGGAAACCTGTATGTCTGCATCATGGCAGATGATGTGGCTGACCTTGTCCAGCTGTTCCAACTAACATGCTCCAAACCCAGAAGTGCAGTAGTGAGGCCACTCGAGAGCATTCCTGTGCAGTTGCGCACTAGAGATTGAGCTCTTGAGAGTGAGTTCAGAGGGACACTGTAGAATGGCTTCACTCCCAAATTTGTGGGAATGTGGGAGTGGAAGTAGGTGAGCAGGGCACACTGGGAAGTCCTTGCCAGTACATTTTGCTTCTGCCATGTGGCAGTACCTTAGGTGGTACCAGATTTAATAAAATGTGTGGGATTGGTTTTAGACACTCAATGATAATGTGCCCATTTTGTAACACTGTCCAGTTCTAACTTTTAGGCTGCCTATATTTTTACGCCAGGAGGAAGTCCAACTTTAAGGCTTGGTCATTTTGAGAAACACATTTTTTTCTTTTACACCCAGAGCTCTTTAAAGTCCCTTCTACTGTGGCATGGCCTTACTAGCATGTTTTATACAGCCACTTCTGCCTAATCCCCAGGGGACTTGATGAGGGTAAAAGGGCATTTTTGACTCAGTTTCAGAAGGTTATACTTGTGCTGATTTGGAGCACTGACATCAGCAGAGTCACTCTGGATTTGCATGTGTTTGTGAGTGTTGTGTAGAATGGGCATGATCCACTCTTGTTGACCTCCAACCAGTGAAGAAGTTCAGTATTGAAGTTGGCACTGGGACTGCAGCCCTGCAGGAGACTGAAAGCTCCATCCTTTTGAAGGGACAGGTGGAAGTGACCCTTGGAGTACTGTCTCTCTGGAAACTAAAGACCCCACAGCACTGTTCTTAAAAAAGAGGGATTTCCTTCCTATCCTAGCTAATATCTCCTCTTCCAGTGAAAAGGTACTGTACTAACTTCCAAGCAAGAAACTATGTCTGAGCTTATGCCAGCTGCTGCATTTGTCTATATAGCTGCTTCACTACTTTCTGCTTTGTAAATCCAGTCTGAAATGCCTAGCAGGGCATTTCAGTTTAAGAAGGGCCAGACTAAAGTCTCTTGGGAATGAGCACATTCTAACACCTGCATGGACAAAATAGGGCCTGCGTAGTCTTGAATTGCAGCCTTTGGCTGTCTTGCTTCTCAAAGTGCCAGGCAAACAGAGAATTGATCTGTCTGCAGGTTTTTATTGCTCATGAGATGACATATAGTTTCTATTGGTCTATAAAGAAATATGAATGTGAAAGAAAATGTTAGGGTCATGCATATTTTGTTAATCAGTACACTTACTGCTCCAGGCTGATTGATGACACAGCTCTCATGGCCTGTTTTGCCCTTTGGCCCAGAGAGACTTGGTCAAAGTCTGTGCATTGATCCTCACATCCAGGTTGCCGTTTCTCTGCTGTCTGTCAGACTGTTAAAAGTAAAGTCAACTGCAGTGCCCTTACCTTGTGCAAGAGTTATCCATAATAATTCAGAGCATGGGATTCTAGTTAAATGCCACTGTCCCACTCTCTTACTGAAGCTGGCACAGAAAGTGAACTGGCACAGTGAGGAAATATATCTACAGTACAAACCACAAGATCCCATTTAGTCTGCTAGCCTCAACAATGTGTCTCTTCAGTGCCTCACGCCAGTCTGCCAAGGAAAAGGGAATAATGTCATGAATAGGATCTGCTTTAAGTAAGATTTAGGGTGTTTTTGTATTCGCCTCTTTCCTCTTTTCATTGATTGACTGCAGTAAGTGACTCTGCAGTAAGTGACTCCATGAATGCAGTAGCAGCTCTAGAATACTAATTTCTCTTGAAACGATGGCAGACATGCCATGTTAGCTAATTTGGGGCTCTGTGAAATACCAAATGATGAGGGGTGAATGATTTTACTAGTTGCAAATGTCTATATCCATCATAATGCCCCAAATGGGATGTGGTGGCTGTCACCCTTGCAGACTCCTTACTCTCACTCCTTTTTGGGGTGGATTTTCAGACAGCTAGATTTAGAGTGCTTCCATCTAAGTTCTTTCCATCCCTTACATAGGATGTAAATTCCGGTTACTTTTTAAGTCTTTGAGTTGAATTACAAATCCCCTTACTCATATGCTAGTCCAGTTGACTTCACTAAGCAGTTCTTTTACTTTTTCAAAAGTCGCACTTTTGAAATCAAAAGACCTAGTTACAGCCCTGTTTTTGGTTATCCTTGCTATTCTAAGCTGATTCAAAAGTGATGATAAAATCAACTTTTTTAGAAGGGCCTACAGCTCTTCTGCTATGGTGGGTCAGCCAGTTGATGCAGCTTTTGTTTTGGGTGTGACTATGGCAACAGTGGAGGAAGGAAATGACTTTTTCAATTACATCATTTGCATTTTACCCAGGCCTTAAGGACATGAAATTCAGCATCATTTCCCGTAATTTATCCTTCTCTCCACCATCCTCCATGAAAAGGACTGTAACAGACCCATCTGATAATTGTGCTATAGATCTCTGTTTAAACATGATCCCAGTATAAAAGAAAACCTAATATAAAGGTTAAGGTGATATACTGGAATTGGGGGGCAAAGAGGTTAAATCCTTGGCTCTGCCTATGCAATCCTTGGGTTGGGTACAGACATTACATTTATCATGCATTCAGTACAGAAAACACTGTAACAGGATAAATTTTCATGGCATATAAAGCACTTTAAAAATGGTGGATCCAGCTCTAAGTTAACCTTGGATAGATGAGGTATAAGACTAAAGCGCTTTAGGTTAGAGCATTTTATCAAATGTCTGTAGCACACCCCATCCTGAGTCAAGGTAGGTTGCATTATCCTGGCATCCCAGGAGTCCTTCTCTGGTCGGCTTGCTAGCCTCAGCCAGCGTTCGTTTACTCCTGGCGAGCACTGGCCAAGTCCCACCCCCAGGCTGTCACAGAGAAGAGTCAGAAAAGGCTCTGTCTCCTCTCTGCATGGCTGGGCAGGGGGTGGGGGAATGGACTGTGTGGGTCCCCTATG